AATGGCAGGGAGCTTTGCCCCAGTGATGTATTGGGCCGTACGCACTACCCTCTGTAGTGCCTTGCGGTCAGAGGCCAAGCAGTTGCCATACCAGGCGGTGATGCAACCAGTCAGGATGCTCTCGATGGTGCAGCTGTAGAATTTTTTGAGGATCTGAGGACCCATGCCAAATCTTTTAGTCTCCTGAGGGGGAATAGGCTTTGTCGTGCCCTCTTCACGACTGTCTTGGTGTGTTTGGACCATGATAGTTCGTTGGTGATGTGGACACCAAGGAACTTGAAGCTCTCAACCTGTTCCACTACAGCCCCGTCGATGAGAATGGGGGCGTGCTCAGTCCTCTTTTTTTTCCTGTAGTCCACAATCATCTCCTTTGTCTTGGTCACGTTGAGGGAGAGGTTGTTGTCCTGGCACCACACGGCCAGATCTCTGACCTCCTCCCTATAGGCTGTCTCATCGTTGTCGGTGATCAGGCCTACCACTGTTGTGTCGTCGGCAAACTTAATGATGGTGTTGGAGTCGTGCCTGGCCATGCAGTCATGGGTGAACAGAGAGTACAGGAGGGGACTGAGCACGCACCCCTGAGGGGCCCCCGTGTTGAGGATCAGTGTGGCAGATGTGTTGTTACCTACCCTTACCACCTGGGGGCGGCCCGTCAGGAAGTCCAGGATCCAGTTGCAGAGGGAGGTGTTTAGTCCCAGGATCCTTAGCTTAGTGATGAGCTTAGAGGGCACTATGGTGTTGAATGCTGAGCTGTAGTCAATGAATAGCATTCTCACGTAGGTGTTCCTCTTGTCCAGGTGGGAAAGGGCAGTGTGGAGTGCGATAGAGATTGCATCATCTGTGGATCTGTTGGGGCGGTATGCAAATTGGAGTGGGTCTAGGGTTTCTGGGATTATGCTGTTGATGTGAGCCATGACCAGTCTTTCAAAGCACTTCATGGCTACAGACGTCAGTGCTACGGGTCGGTAGTCATTTAGGCAGGTTATCTTAGAGTTCTTGGGCACGGGGACTATGGTGGTCTGCTTGAAACATGTTGGTATTACAGACTCAGTCAGGGACATGTTGAAAATGTCAGTGAAGACACTTGCCAGTTGGTCAGCACATGCTCGGAGTACACGTCCTGGTAATCCGTCTGGCCCTGCGGCCTTGTGAATGTTGACCTGCTTAAAAGTCTTACTCACATCGGCTACGGAGAGCGTGATCACATAGTCATCCGGAACAGCTGGTGCTCTCATGCATGCTTCAGTGTTGCTTGCCTCGAAGCGAGCATAGAAGTGGTTTAGCTCCTCTGGTAGGCTTCTGTCACTGGGCAGCTCGCGGCTGTGCTTCCCTTTGTAGTCTGTAATAGTTTTCAAGCCCTGCCACATCCGACGAGCGTCAGAGCCAGTGTAGTATGATTCAATCTTAGACCTGTATTGACTCTTTGCCTGTTTGATGGTTCGTCGGAGGTCATAGCGGGATTTCTTATAAGCGTCCGGGTTAGAGTCCCGTTCCTTGAAAGCGGCAGCTCTACCCTTTAGCTCAGTGCGGATGTTTCCTGTAATCCATGGCTTCTGGTTGGGGTATGTACGTACGGTCACTGTGGGGACGACATCATCGATGCACTTATTGATGAAGCCAGTGACTGATGTGGTGTACTCCTCAATGCTGTCTGAAGAATCCCAGAACATGTTCCAGTCTGTGCTAGCAAAACAGTCCTGTAGCTTAGCATCTGCGTCATCTGACCACTTTTTTATTAACCGAATCACTGGTGCTTCCTGCTTCAGTTTTTGCTTATAAGCAGGAATCAGGAGGATAGAGTTATGGTCAGATTTGCCAAATGGAGGGCGAGGGAGAGCTTTGTATGCGTCTCTGTGTGTGGAGTAAAGGTGGTCTAGAGTTTTTTTCCCTCTGGTTGCACATTTAACATGCTGGTAGAAATTAGGTAGAACGGATTTAAGTTTCCCTGCATTAAAGTCCCCGGCCACTAGGAGCGCTGCATCTGGATGAGCGTTTTCCTGTTGATTAATGGCCTTGTACAACTCATTCAGAGCAATCTTAATGCCAGCATTGGTTTGTGGTGGTAAATAGACAGCTATGAAAAATATAGATGAAAACTCTCTTGGTAAATAGTGTGGTCTACAGCTTATCATAAGATACTCTACCTCAGGCGAGCAAAACCTCGAGACTTCCTTAGTATTTGATTTTGTGCACCAGCTGTTGTTTACAAATATACACAGACCGCCGCCCCTTGTCTTACCAGAGTCAGACGTTCTGTCCTGCCGATGTAGCGTATAGCCTGCTAGCTGAATGTTATCATTGTTGTCGTTCAGCCACGACTCCGTGAAACATAAGATATTACAGTTTTTAATGTCCCGTTGGTAGGATAACCGTAATCTTAACTCGTCCATTTTATTCTCAAAAGATTGAACGTTGGCTAGTAGGATTGATGGGAGAGGCAGTTTACTCGCTCGCCGTCGGATCCTTACAAGGCACCCGGATCTGCGTCCGCGATATCTCCGTATCTTCCTCACGCGAATGACGGGGATCTGGGCCTTGTCGGGTGTCTGTAGGATATCCTTCGCGACCGCCTCGTTGAAGAAAAAATCTTCGTCCAATGCGAGGTGAGTAATCGCTGTCCTGATATCCAGAAGCTCTTTTTGGTTATAAGAGACGATGGCAGAAACATTATGTACAAAATAAATTACAAATAACGCGGAAAAACACACATAATAGTACAATTGGTTAGAGGGCTGTAAAAGGCAGCCATCTTCCCGGCGCTGTATTCTGTCCAAGTGTGGTGAAAGTGCTCATAAGGATGTTGACCGAGAGGGGAAAGGACAAAATGTTATTATCTCATATCACTCTTCTCTTTCAGATGAGCTGTCGGTTTGGGGGAAACTACAGTTAGAGAGAACCCTAGCTATGTTTCCATTAACTTTTTATTGACATTTAGAACATTTTTATTGACACTGTCTTGATAAAAACGGCTAGATGTGCCCCGCATTCCTTCAAAATTACACTGCAAGTGTTGCTTTACCACTCCATCACTGATGTGGAGTACAGCTCCGCTGGTATGTTGTTTTGCGCAGAGGGCGGCAGCTCCGTCTCTGTTTGCTCACTGTTCCGCAGACAGTACTTTGAGTTCATGTCGCACGTACGGTTTCTGTGCATATGAGCGACAGTACAATCTCTAATGTGCTGCAACATCTGCATGTCACAAACAAAGAACACTGTTGAGTGCACTGGCAATTTGTCTCTTTGCGTGAGGTGTATATTCTGGGAAGGCCGCCTTCCTGTTGCGCTCTCGTCACTCTTTTCTACCCAAACCGTGCCATCCCTCCCAGACTCCGGTCTCACCGTGGCAGATGAGATCCCCATCTCAGTTCTGTTTTTTCTGCGGTGAGGCTCCGGCATTGGAGGCGGAGGCTCGAAATCAACATCAGGATCAGATGAAGACTCATCAGCAACGTTGATTTCAAGCTCAATATCCGATCTTCCATCTGACTCCAGCTCATCTAAATTTTGCAGCATTTGCAGTGCTGTCAGTGTGTCCATTCGTTTGGTTCAGCTTGCCATTGTGAACCAACTACGCACATTGTATGTTGTAGTCAATGGCTGATTTGACTCTCCGAGGGGAGATTACCATTTCCAGCCTTTCACAATAGACCGCCTACAATTCTTCATCATCATTACACTATTGCTCTAAATTTTATCAAAATCTTCACCCAGATCATTCAAATTCAATCAACCTCTTCATCATTCAGTTCATTCAAATTCAATTGTGAAGTCACATGCACAATTATCAGTTTCTATCTAGTTTCTATATCCCCATTCATCCATTAATGTCCTTCATTCAGTGAGGAGAGACATGTACTAGCGCCTGGGTACCAACACCCTTCGGCACGTTTGTCTTGGCCCCTTTAGTTAGTAATAGCTGTTTAAAAAACAGGTAAGCCTTTAAATGCTTTTTGGTTTGTGATTAAACAATCCTTACAACTGAGAAATGTCAAATAAACATTTAGGAAAAGTCAGGGAAGGATATCTATTTACAAAATCAAACATCAGTGGCCGTTGGCCTATGGCGGTTCTAGTGTTAAGTAAAATGCTCTTATTCCTCCTTATGCTCTTAGGCCTTCTGTAGCTCAGTTGGTAGAGCATGGTGCTTGCACCACCAGGGTTGTGGGTTCAATTCCCACGGGGAGCCAGTATGAAAAATGTATGCACTCACTAACTGTAAGTCGCTCTGGATAAGAGCGTCTGCTAAATGACTAAAATGTAAAATTCAGAGAAACAGATGTCACTTTTGGGGGAACCGCATACGTTGCAACATCATAGGCAACCATTTGTTGTATACTGTACAACCGCTGGCTTTTTAACCTTTCAGTTGAACTTAACCAATCCAAAGTATATCCTTTTATCTAACCTTTAATCTATACATCTCGCTTGAGACAAAATGTTTTTAGAGGAAAACCTATTTGTAGTATTATAGGTCAGAGGTTGTCAGACTGATGTGATCTGATATGAGATATCTAGAGTCAGTTAAAAAAGATAACTATCTCCTTATGTTCCAAGCGGTCGTGAACCTTTTGGCTATGATTAGCGTCAAATAGTGAGGTCAAGGAAAACAAAATGGCCTTAGTTGTGATGCATTGTAGGCCAACAATACCAGGCTTATGTTATATGAGATATACTTACTCGTTTCCTCGAGTCTGGACTATGTAGACTATCATACTACTACTGTGGAGCCGTAACTATCAAACCTCTCCGACTGATCCACCCAAGGGCCTAACTTGTGCAGCCAGGCCCAGTGTGTGTGTGTGTGTGTGTGTGTGTGTGTGTTTTGCCTCCCAGGCCCAAGAAGCAGGCAAAGATGGTGGAGTACTGCAGGTCAATATTAGGACACGTGTTACTAACCTACCCTCTAGAGAAATGAACGTAAGAGGGCTGGAAGATTGGTTGGGTCGTTTTTTGCAGGGTTTGAATTACGCATTGAGTCTTGGGGTGAGTGTGACACTGACCTTCTTGAGTTTGTCGATCTGCTTGTTGCGTACGTTGGTGTTGTCGATAGCCAGCACATCAACTGACTCCTCTTTCTCCAGACGGTACTTATTCACCCCAACAATTACCTCCGAACCTGGGGGACACAACCAGAGGGACACAGTCAGAGAGGGGACAGAGGAAAACACATAGTCGCTCATACGCACGCACACACCCACACCCCTCCTAGTCTGTTGGCTGCTGGTTCAGTGAAGCGATAGACATCGCAGTTAGGTTTTCTGTCAGAGAGCTTACAGTATTCACTTCACGACAACAAGCTAATACCATGTACCCCTTTGAAAATATAGGGAACAGAAATCAGGGAAAGAGAAAGTAACCCATCCATCCCTACTGTGTTCAATGGCTGCAGTGAGCCCCACCTCATCTACCTCTCTCCCCCTCCTCCCTCTACCTCTCTCCCCTCTCTCAGCATGCATCAAAGCAGTAGCGTTCGGGCGGGTCTCCTTGCGTGCTAACCAGGCCGACCCCTGCCATGTTCACACGACACATCCCAGTGGCCCTGCGAGCCCCCACTATGTTCACAGGACTCGACCCCTGTGCAGGCATCTGATAAGGACAGCCTTGGGTCCTCGATCAGATCAAAAGGCTTAGATGAAGAGGTCGGAGCTCAGACGCCAGCTCAGACACACACAGCATGTCTGTTACTTTCCCCTGGCCAGTGTTCGCTAGGCCAATGATGAATGTATGATCCAGACTAGAGCTGTGGAAATAGACTGCTGAGATGGTAAATGCTACTTAAATTCCGGCAGACTTCCAGGACATGTCTCTTTAAAAGAGCAGCTATGAAATATGGAGTGTGTCGGTTCTGCCTGAGTGGAGGACTGATGCTTCCAGCATACCCACTGAATTACACCTGGGGCTTTTTAGGAGGGGAAGTGAGATGATGGAGGGGAGAAGGATGTAAGAAAGATGAGGGAATAAGAGGAGGGAGGGTGGGAAAAGAGAACAGAAGGGGGGACAGGGAGTGCACGTGTGCCTGCACTGCACGTGTGTGTGTATTGCTGCAGTACCTGAGTCTATGCGAGCCTGTCTGCGAGCAGCACATTCCTCGATACGTAGTTTAGGAATACCTTCAGCAACAGCTCTGGCCATGCCTCCCACCTCTTCGATCTCATTAATAAACTACAGGTGAGGGGATAAAACAAATGGATAAACATCTAATGCATTTAAACATGAACACAATCCATACAAACAACCATTAAATGTACTGTGAAGTGTGTGTGACCCCCCCCTGACCCTTAACCTGTCCTTGACCTCTAACCCCTCACCTTTAGGGCAGTGTTGTAGACGTCGTCGGTCAGCGCCTCCATCATGTGTGACCCGCCCCAGGGGTCGGCGACCTTGGGTATCCCAGACTCCTCTTGGATGATTATCTGTGTGTTGCGTGCGATGCGGGCGCTCTTCACAGTGGGTAGACCCAAAGCCTCGTCAAAAGAGTTGGTGTGTAGAGACTGGGTCCCCCCGAACACCGCAGCCATCGCCTCGATCACCGTACGCACCACATTGTTATACGGGTCCTGGAGAAAACAGAATACACAAGACAGAACATATGAAGGTCATAATAGATTGAATTAGACTAGACCAGTTGGTGTAAAGTGACTGTGTAGGACAGATGAAGCAAGTATCAGATAACAGCTGAGTTCAGTGCTTATTAGTGGAGATAAGGCTAGACCAGGTGGTGTAAAGAGACTAGGTTCACCCCATTTACATAACTTGGCCTCGATCAAATAAAGTCATTTATTTGACTCCGCCCACCTGTTCAGTGAGGGACCAGCCTGAGGTCTGACAGTGGGTCCTGAGGAGCAGGGACTTGGTCAGCTTGGGTTGGAACTTCTCCTTAATGAGCGTGGCCCACAGCCTTCTGCCTGCCCTCAGCTTGGCTATCTCCATGTAGAAGTTCATACCGATACCCCAGAAGAATGACAACCTAGAGAAGAGAGAGAGGGATATAGAGTGATATATACAAGTACCTGAGTATCAAAGGATGTTTTAAGAAGATTTGGTTTTACTTAACACTATGTATTCCAAGTATGCATATTCTTTATTGGAAAGCACATTCCCCTATGAGATTTCAAAGTATACCATTCTATAGACATGAGATACAGGTAACTGCCAAAATAAAGGAAACACCAACATAAAGTGTCTTAATAGGGTGTTGGGCCACCACGAGCCAGAACAGCTTCAATGCACCTTGGCATAGATTCTACAAGTGTCTGGAACTCTATTGGAGGGATGCAACACCTTTCTTCTACAGGAAATTCCATAATTTGGTGTTTTGTTGATGGAAAACACAGTCTCAGGCGGTGCCCCAGAACCTTCCACAAGTGTTCAATTGGGTTGAGATCTGGTGACTGAAACACACACACCCTTTAAACCCCATATGGTCCTTTGAGACCCCTCTTTCAAAGTCACAGAGCTCTTTTCTTTTAGCCATGTTAGCCAAAATAATGGACAACTGGGCATTTTATACATGACCCTAAGCATGATGGGATGTTAATTACTTAATTAACTCAGGAACCACACCTGTGTGGAAGCACCTGCTTCCAATACACTTTGTATCCCTCATGTACTCTAGTGTTTCCTTTATTTTGGCAGTTACCCGTTTGTTATTATCCACACATTCATATTGATGCCCCAGAGAAATTACTAGGACAGGTTTCCCCCATAGGGTGTTTACAGACAAAACACAAAGATGTAATAAATCAATAAGTATGGTTAAAACTCCCAATAGGAATGAATAGACAGCTAAAGTGTAGAGCAGAGTGTTGAAACAGCAGAGCTCTCAGCTGAGGAAAATCATATTGAATGAAAGCTCTATCAGTCTATTGATTTTGACAGTTCTAACAGGACCCTAATGCTATGCTAATGCAATATATAATTACCGCTCAGGGGGAACCCATCAATCAATAACACTGCTGTGTGTGTGTGTGTGCATGGACTAACTACAGTCACCTACCTATGTGATTGTCTATGTGACTGACAGTAAGGTTACTTGAGAAATAGTTTGACAAAAAGAGTGATGTTTGAAGGAACCTGCGTTATTGTAGATGTCAGAATGACCGACTAAATGAACGATGGACTAAACGCAGAATGGCTAAAAGGCATGGCTAAATGAAAGGACAGTCAATTCACGGCAACTTTAAAAGACTTCCTTTGAACAACCACACATCAATCAACAGTCTGTCATTCACCCTAGGGAGTCATTTAGAGTTTCATTTAGAGTGCGTGTCCTCTGACATGAAGCAGTGAGCCAGAGAGGACGGTCTGGGAATAACTGTCTAGTGGAGAGGAGACCTCTGTCTGTTTGACAGGACATTCACTGCTCTGAGACACTGGGAATGACACAGGGAAATCACTTAGAAAAAAAAAAATCACCTCCAGAAACAACTCATAGCCACTAACTCTGAGGCACTGCATCATGAGGTCCCTGGGACAACACACACGTATGATCTCACTCGGTGTGTGTGTGCGCACCTGGGAGCGAACTCATCTATAGTGAGGCCAGCTTTCAGCCCAGTGCGGCAATACTCCAGGCCGTTGGCGATGGTGTAGGCCACCTCCAAGATGGCGTCCGCCCCGGCCTCCTGGAGATGGTAACCACTGATGGAGATGGAGTTGAACTTGGGCATGTGCTACCAGAGGAAACAACCAGTCAGTCAACCAATCAATCAATCATAACAATAATCAATCAATCATGATGGGGAAACAGTGCGAGTTCAATCATGGACCTCCTGTGTTTGAGGTACGTGCCTGTATCTTAAGTTAGATGTTACTTCCATGGAAATAAGAAAGAGGACTTTTACTGTATTTGCAAGGCAGCGAGGTACAGAGGCCGCTTTACCCTGTTGTAGCTGTAAAGTCCTTACCTTGGACGTGTACGCGAAGATATCAGCGATGGCGTGCATGGAAGGTTCCGGGGGGAAGATATAGGTGTTGCGCACCATGAACTCCTTCAGGATGTCATTCTGGATGGTTCCGGTCAGCTTCTCCTTGGGTACCCCCTGCTCCTCCCCCGTCACAATGAACATGGCCAGCACCGGGATCACTGCTCCATTCATCGTCATGGAAACCGACATCTTCTCCAGCGGGATGCCGTCGAACAGCATCTTGGTGTCCTCCACAGTATCTATGGCGACCCCTGCCATTCCGACATCGCCGTGGACACGGGGGTTGTCGGAGTCATACCCGCGGTGAGTCGGGAGGTCGAAGGCCACCGAGAGACCCTGCTGACCCGCTGTAGAGAGAGAGAGATTGAAGTTACACTTATTACAATGGGAGAGGTGACTCAGTCAATATGTACTTAAATGATGTTTTATTAAGCTATAAAGTAGAGAAAGAACCCTTGCCTGATTAAACCTGACAGAGTCAATTTCCAGACAGACCACAATCACAAGATTTACAAGTGGCACATCCTCCAATGACCTGGGTTCCCTTCAATATTATATAATATAACCCCAGTTGGTCACACCAGCCAGTGTATACTGCGTAGTACCTTTAATGTTGTCCCGGTAGAACTTGTTGCTCTCCTCCACGGTGCTGAAGCCAGCGTACTGCCTGATGGTCCAGGGCCTGAACGTGTACATGGTGGGGTAGGGCCCCCTAGTGTAGGGGAAGACCCCTGGCAGCTCGTCGGGCTTCATTGCAGAGTCTGCTTTAGTGTAGACGGGTTTGATGTTGAGGCCCTCCGGCGTGCGCCAGATCAGGTCTTCTGGGTTCTTCCCTTTCAGTTGTTTCTTGGCCAGGCTGGCCCACTCCGGGTGCAGGTCCACTTCATCCTGACAGGGCGCTGCGGTACGAAACTGCCGGGAGTGTGTTTGTGAGTTTGTGTTGGTGTATGCGTGTGAGGAGCAGGGAGCTCCAAGGAGTCGGCGTGCAGCCAGAGCGGCACATGTCCTCTGTGCAGTCAGCATGATGGGTCTGGAATAGTACCATATGACACACAGGAGGAGAGGAAAGAAAAACAGACAGACAAGAATGAGACATCAGGAAATCACTCTGGTTTCATTTGTCGAGTAATGGTCATTTCCATGTAAAAGGACCCATGAGCACCAACATGTGAAGTTCATAGGAGCTTGTCAAATTAGGTGTCAAATGAAAGCTAAGAGTCTAAAAACATTTGAAAGTAAGGCATATATGCATTTTTTCAACCATTTAAAATGACCAATAAGCGAAGGCTTTGATTTCTTGTCAAACAGATAGAAAAGGGATCTTAGAAAACATCTACCAGAAAAAGGCTTCAAAAGGTATTAGAAATACATCAAAACACAAATATCTCTCTCTCTCTCTCTCTCTCAAAGTCAGAAGTTTACATACACTTAGGTTGGAGTCATTAAAACTAGTTTTTCAACCACTCCACAAATGTCTTGTTAACAAACTATAATTTTGGCAAATCAGTTAGGACATCTACTTTGTGCATGACAACTAATTTTTCCCAACAATTGTTTACAGACAGATTATTTCACTGTATCACAATTCCAGTGGGTCAGCAGTTGACATACACTAAGTTGACTGTGCCTTTAAACAGCTTGGACAATTCCAGAAAATTATGTCATGGCTTTAGAAACTTCTGATAGGCTAATTGACATCATTTGAGTCAGTTGGAGGTGTACCTGTAGATGTATTTCAAGGCCTACCTTCAAACTCAGTGCCTCTTTGCTTGACATCATGGGAAAATTAAAAGAAATCAGCCAAGACCTCAGAAAAAAAAACTGTAGAGTCTGGTTCATCCTTGGGAGCAATGTCCAAACGCCTGAAAGTACCACGTTCATCTGTACAAACAATAGTACGCAAGTATAAACACCATGGGACCACGCAGCCGTCATACCGCTCAGGAAGGAGACGCGTTCTTGTGAAGATGCTGGAGGAAACGGGTACAAAAGTATCTATATCCACAGTAAAACTAGTCCTATATCGACATAACCTGAAAGGCCGCTCAGCAAGGAAGAAGCCACTGCTCCAAAACCGCCATAAAAAAGCCAGACTACGGTTTGCAACTGCACATGGGGACAAAGATCGTACTTTTTGGAGAAATGCCCTCTGGTCTGATGAAACAAAAATAGAACTGTTTGGCCATAATGACCATCGTTATGTTTGGAGGAAAAAGGGGAACGCTTGCAAGCCGAAGAACACCATCCCAACCGTGAAGCACGGGGGTGGCAGCATCATGCTGTGGGGGTGCTTTGCTACAGGAGGAACTGGTGCACTTCTCAAAATAGATGGCATCATGAGGAAGGAAAATTATGTGGATATATTGAAGCAACATCTCAAGACATCAGTCAGGAAGTTAAAGCGTGGTAGCAAATGGGTCTTCCAAATGGACAATGGCCCCAAGCACACTTCCAAAGTTGTGGCAAAATGGCTTAAGGATAACAAAGTCAAGGTATTGGAGTGGCCATCACAAAGCCCTGACCTCAATCCTATAGAACATTTGTGGGCAGAATTAAAAAAGCATGTGCAAGCAAGGAGGCCTACAAACCTGACTCAGTTACACCAGCTCTGTCAGGAGGAATGGGCCAAAATTCACCGAACTTATTGTGGGAAGCTTGTGGAAGGCTACCCGAAATGTTTGACCCAAGTTAAACAATTTAAAGGCAATGCTACAAAATACTAATTGAGTGTATGTAAACTTCTGACCCACTGGGAATGTGATGAAAGAAATAAAAGCTGAAATAAATAATTATCTTTACTATTATTCTGACATTTCACATTCTTAAAACAAAGTGGTGATCCTAACTGACCTAAAACAGGGAATTCTTACTAGGATTAAATGTCAGGAAATGTGAAAAACAGAGTTTAAATGTATTTGGCTAAGGTGTATGTAAACATCCGACTTCAACTGTACACACACACACACACACACACACACACACACATATACATATATATATATATATACACACACACACACACATACATATATAGTATACCACCAGAAAGCTTAATTTCTTCCCTTTCTAACAAAATCTTTACACAATCTATCTCTGCCACCTGCAGGAGTAATGGGGCTGCGTCTAAAAAGTGCTTGGGGGGAAGCTTTGGCTTTGAGCAGGTGGGGAGAACTGTCCAGTGGCGAAACTGCATTTTCTACCTGATTTATCAATTACATTAAAACACCATAAAGAGTTAATTTAATGTTTCATACAGACCTGTGTGAAATTAACAAAACAGTGCCACGTTTGTATATAATTGTGCCACCAGAGGTCGCTACTACACAGGGGTTGTCAGTGGGGTCTGCGACCAGATCAAAAAATAAAAATATAAAAAATATATTATTATTATTTCTATTACTAACAACAACAGATGAAACACATTTTGGCCAAGGGATCTGTGGAATAAGAGCGTGTAATACCATACAATGTAATACTATTAATCTACAATTTGGGCCTGGGCGCCTCACAGGGAACTCAATACTTCTTGTATTCCCCCAAAATGTTTTGACATCATCGGTGTGCATCGTGGGATTTTGTCCAATTGTGAGTAGGCATTGCCTTCTAATTGGTTGGTGATGTCATTGGAAACATCTTGCTCCATCTTTTTGACTACAAAACATAGAAATGTGCCATTTTCACATATGTTGATGATGGGGTGGTGCTAGATAAAGTTCTCTCTACCTCATGGAAAAATATGTAGATTTGCAGGATACTAGCTTTAAAGCTGCAACAACAAAACATATCTCTGCCACCATGACAAAATATGTAGAATTACAAGAAATTAGGGTTGTCACCAGTATTGTGATACTACAATATCTGATTTTCCATGGCAAAAAGGAAAACACAAAGTAGACTAAACTCTTTGGTCCTTTAAAAAACCTGCTGTATGTAAAATAGTGTGTGCTATAACTGGTATCGTGACAACACTACAGGAAATTAACTTGAAAAAACTGTTCTCTCCGATGCCAAGAGCCGGGCCTTTAAACTGTTCCTTCCCAGGGCCCGAGACTTGGTTCGTAGGGCCATGCACTGCACGAAGTCATAGTAAAACTCTTTGTATGCCATTTATCTCACTCAAGTTGTGTTCTTATTATGGAGGTCCCAGATGAATTTGCTATAGCAAAAGGGGTCCCCGGCCCCAAAAAGTTTGAGAACCCCTGACAAGGAACGGAGGCTGTCACTGCTTTTGAGAGTCATTACCGCTCAAAGTGATTGTCTTTGTGGTCAATACATTCACAATTTCATCAAATGTAACGTTACACTATTTGTTGATAATGTCTTGTCAAATAATAAATACATAGATAAACGATGTAACGATACGTCGTAACACGGAACAAAGTAAAGTTCGCGTCAGAAGGGGTTAGTTTTTTCAACTTTTCTCAAATATGATTTGGCCCTGACCATGTCAATCAAAGCTTGAAAAGAAAAGTAGACAATTCCTCGGAAATTGACGCTAACAGATTGGCCACGTGCCTCTGCCCAGGCCACTGATTTATATACATAATTGGCCCAGGCGTTGCTGACGCCTGCCAGATCTATATGTATTTAACGTATCAGCTAACCACATTATATGTTATAGCAATCTGTCAGTCTATGACATAGCACGCAACATCTGAGCAGGGGAATTCGACACATTTGTTATGCCGCGTTCAAGACAACTCGGAAACTGTGAAATGTGTGACTTGGAAAAACGTCGTTGAAAGATGAGCTCCGAGTTTCTCAATTGGAAAATATCAGAATCTACCAATGGGAAACTCTAAGCAAAAAAAACAACCTCTATGAGGTTCCGAGTTGTCTTTAAAACACCAATAGCAATCTGTCAGTCGGTGACCATTAGCTGTAGGCCCTTTCGTTTTCATTGCAACCCGGTTTGAACGCCAAGTTACGCTAATTCTGTATTGACGATGTACGATACAAAACACGTAAGTGTAGGACGACAGTAAGGCTCGTTACATGTTGGTTATGTACCAGTTAGCAAGCTAGCTATAGCTACGCAGCTATCAATGCACTGCTGGCAGATGTGCAAATATATCATCACAGAGTTTCTAAATCATCTTTGATAGAGTTTAACAAAAATGTCAAATGGGCTGCAAGACAGTCTGTCGTTTTCTCACAGTTCAGAAATGACAAAGAAAGTGTAAAAGTATAAATTCTGACCTTGTGTTTTGTTACGTTCTCAGTGCCGTTGCTGTAAAGGTGTGTTGGTCCACCCAATAATATTTAATAACAATAGTAACCGACCAATCACAAGCTAGCTCTGCTGGTTAAACTCCGCCCTATGACACAGGAAGTGAAAAGGAATGAAAGACCGGTGTTTAGTGAAGAGATGTATCCCTCCCGCTCTATATAAATGTTCGTCGAAAGTGTAAAGTATGTACTATCGCTATGTCGCCAGAAGATGGCTCTGTTTCTTGGCAATTTTTTAAATGCTTATTTTTCGTGTGATTGCTTATTTGCAAAGGAGAGTTAGAATATTGTCTGAATATTAATATATTCACAAGCGCTCAAGATCTTCAACACACATGACTCAAGTTCACAGATTTTCAATAAACACAGTTCTCACCATTTTTATTAAGAGTTGATTGATTAGTCATAGTATTCATAGGTTGTAAGAGTAGTACTTTACAGTGGATTTGGGTTTCTGATGGCCTTCGTTTGTTCCTATGTGATATTTTTGCAGTAAATGTTTACAAGGGATACAAAATGTACTAAACACAGAAACATCAGTTATCCTTATGCAGGGCAGGGGTTTTTCATCACCATGTGACCTGACCAGGTACAATTCCAGGGCCTAGTTGTAGCCCTACTTGTAGAGTGTTAAATTGTGTTACTTGGTGAGGTCTCATGTTCAAGGAAAACTCCTGACCCTTAAAGCTTTCAGCAGGACAGACCTTTATCAAAAGTGGCAATGCAGACAGTGGTTGGTAATGCCCAGTCAAGATACGACAGGGTTCTCCAAATCTGGTCCTGGAGAGCTACTGGAGTGTGCAGGCTTTTGATCCAGACCAGCACTAACACACCTTCAATCTGCATTCATACTGGGCTGGAACAAAAGCCATACCCAGTAGCTCTCCCGACCAGAGAAGAGGAACCCTGAGATACAGAGCGTTGTACTGTTACACCTTATTTGAGCTTTGAAAAACAGTAAGGCAGTGACTTTCCATTGCTATATATTACGGCATTCATCGGATGGTTCTATGTTTCTTTGTCATACACAGATTCAAGAAAATGTACAACCTAAAATGAAAGGGAAACATTTTGAAAAAGAAAAACTATGCTCATGGACATCAAAAACATTAAAACAAAGAGGAAGCCAAACTATGGTATCATCAGTGTGTAAAAAGTCTAAAATCAGTTTAGCGGCAGGCAGCATCCATCTACAATGACACAAAGTTGGCAACAAAGCAGTAGATTCCTTTAAGTGTTGAGAAGTTGAAGATGCTAAAAATCAAAGGAGTGTTGGTCGATGGTGTGGGGCAGTGTTACCCCCTCAAAGGGAAGGTAGTGAGTGACCTTTTAGGCCCCAGTTGACCTTTCACCCTGACCCCAGAGAGGGGTCACTCACTCCAGCTTAAGGAGCTCAACGTCGAAGATGAGGGTGGCGTTGGGGGGGATGACACCAGGGTGACCTGTGGCTCCATAGGCCATATCCGGCGTGCAGGTGATTTTTGCCCGCTGGCCCACGCTCATCTGGGGGAGACAGAAAGGGAGGAAGACAACAAGTAGAGGAATTGTCAACACTTGCTTATCATGTGTTGCAATATTAACATAAAATATCATGAGTGCAGAGATGGAGTGGCACTTTCTGCTGTACGACAATGCCATCTCACCTGTGCGATTCCTTCCTCCCAGCCCTTGATGACTTCCTGTCGCCCGATCTTGAACTTGAAGGGCTTGTTTCTGTCTCGAGAAGAGTCAAACTTCTTCCCATTCTGCAGCATACCTGGCAAAGAGAAATCACACAAACACTTAACTCAATGATCTTCCTAGGTTCAGGTAGGTGTCTGAACGTTCTTGTTTATTCATGTATTCTGCTTTATAAGAGTACTACCGTGTACACGTGAGTGTGCTTGTGGAATCACTTGAACACAAAACAAGGCCTACACAAGCCTATTTTCCACACAAAGATCAATTCCCTTCAAGTCATTCGACCTTTTCCCCTCAAAACAAACTGAAATGTAACGGAGTGCTGTTTTGCATGAGGTCAGGAAATCACTGCAAGAAATACTGTCTTGAATGCCTCGGAATCATAGCGTTCCAAATTCCAACATCAAAGGCTTCGGGAAAGGCGGATTCTGATAACAGGGCTGGCACTAAAACAGGAGTAATTCCACTGGGCTTCCTTATCCAGGTCCTGGGCTCAAATGAACAAAGGGAATGTGAAATATGAGGCAGTGGCCTAATTCTTTCTGTGGATTATCTCTGACGGTTAACTAGGCCATGTCTAGACTGCATCTAGACCACAGGGGAAACAGACAGAAAGACAGACAGACAGGGACAAACTGTAGTGGCACAACAATGAATGTGCACATGAAAATCTGTCCATTCAGGCATGCTAAGAACGTTAGGTCCACTAAACACTCCCACCAGAGGAACTGAGGCAGAGACACTGTGCGTGTGCAGAACATACTTAACCATTTTACCTTTCACAGGCCTGGGTAGAATACTGACAAGTATTACTGAGACAAAATCCTAATGTTAATAATCCAGGGCAATGTGGCTGCAGCCATGTGAGAATGTTGCTCATGGAAAGGCCTATTTGGGCTTGCAGAAATCAGACCATTAGAAATACAGTAATGATAAATATAGGATATTTCCTAGCCCTACAGTAAATTGAGAAATGTTGATGTCAACATTAAGCAGACATATGGGACTATAATAACACCTGCAGAAGGGTAGACTTTTCCAGAAGCAGCCATGGTTGACCGATCCAATCTCACCTGTCCCACGGTATTATGTCACAGTAACCATGAACCTTGTTGCCCCAAACAGCAAATATTGCTGAATGAAGACAAAAAAAAAACTGCAACAAAACCCATGACAGTTCAGCATGTCAATCTGAGGAACTTGTCACATCTCGTAAAATAATCTCTAATGTGCGTTTACCATCGTTTCCAAGTTGTAGTAAAATAACATGATTCATTTCTACCACCATCACAGTAGAGACATAACAGCAGCGTAAATAGTTGGCAATAAAACTAGCCTAGCGTGCTAACCCCAGTCAGTCGGGAGACGGTTCACCCAGAGAGATGTGAGTTTTGTACAGTACTGGTTGCTTCTCCTCTTTCACTTCCCCCTAAACTTAGTAGGACTGCAGGCTTCCAGGAATTCATGCCTGTGGGGCCACTGGGCAGAGATCCAAGCCTGGAGCCGACGGGTCCACAGACCACACAGTGATTACCATCTGTTAATACTGTCGCTCCCCTGGCCAGACTGGTTACAGGCACAGTGAAGTGCTCCTGAAGATGGAAACATTAGGTCCCATATTTCAAATAAAAAACACAGTGAAACAGGGCTAGGATGTTTATTTCATATGCAGGCTGGGAATTGCTAGGGACCTCACGATACGATATTATCACCATACGACATGTATTGCAATTCTCACAATTCTGTATGTATTGCGATTCGATACTGTCATTTTATTGCCATTCGATGTTCCAAACATCTTGCTCACCATATGTCTGCTGCAGAGGGACAAAAGAGTCATGAAAATAAAACCTGTAAAAACAAATTGGCTCCCTATTTAAAAAGAAGATGGAGAACAGGCTATGAAGGAAACATACTGGAGTTTTGGTGCAGGTACAGCAAACTAGAACAAAAATAATATTGCGATATTGTCAAAACAATTCGATAAATCGTCAAAAATAATATCCTGATATGTAACAATTTTTTTTCCCACATCACTAATGCAATATAGGTCCTATTGTCTCCCAAGCAGGAATTATATGGCCAGTTACAAAGTAAAGTGGTCCTTAGTATGAAATTATTAAGACTCCTTTGCTGAATGGGTGAAAAGTTGGCTGTTTTTCAAAAACACAACTTAACCTATGTCTACCAGTATACTAAACATTAGTATACCAAACATTAATATTGAGTTGCACCCCATTCTTGATACACACGGAAAACTGTTGAGTGTGAAAAACCCAGCAGCGTTACAGTTCTAGACACAAACTGGTGCGCCTGGCACCTACTACCATACCCTGTTCAAAGGCACTTCAATCATTTGTCTTGCCCATTCACCCTCTAAATGGCACACCTACACAATCCATGTCTCAATTGTGCAAGACTTCAAAATCCTTCTTTAACCTGTCTCCTCCCCTTCATCTACACTGATTGAAGTGGATTTAACAAGTGACATCAATAAGGGGGTTCATAGCTGTTACCTGGATTCACCTGGTCAGTCTATGTCATGGAAAGAGCAGGTGTTCCTAATGTTTTGCATATTAAGTGTATATACGCAGCTTGGAAAGTAAAGCCCACCCTATCTGACAAACTCTACATACTATTCCCAGTCTGTTTGAGTTGGGGTCGTTCCAAAACAAGTTTTAAGAAAATAAAGCCAGTCCAATAATTTATCTTCCTGCAAAAGAGACCCAGACCCTTAACTATCTGACTACAAAATGCAGAGAGCCCACCTCATCTTGGTTGAGTCAGGGAGGGGTCATATGAAAATAAAACCAGGCTTCTTCCTTCCCTGTTACTACAGCACAGTCTCAGACCCTCTTGTATATCAGGCAGGCGATGAGTTACTAGTAGACAGTGTAGAAAGCATGACAAACTGGGCCGGCTTAATCCCTGGTTCTCTGCTTGGGTTGGGGATTAAAATACCCAGGGAAGACCCATGTGTGTCCCTAATGCCACCCTATTCCCCATATAGTGCACTATACATTAGGCCAGAGCCACACAGGGTTGCCACATTGGGTTCTTGCTAAATGTAGTGCACTATATAGAGAATAGGTCACCATTTCATTTTTGGCCCCCAGACCCTCTTGAGTAGTGTGGGATCTCAGAGGGACTCAGGCTGTCCAGCCTTTATACTCTGTTTACTGTATCTGTGTCTCAGACCTCACGTCACACACACAAGCCCCTCGTCCCCCGGGGACCAGAGATGTAAGGAGATAGCACACGTAAGCTATCTGTCTGCAACATGCTTTTATAGACGTCAGCACATCATGGGGCTGCGAACAACTATATGTCGACAGAAAAATATCTGTTTGTGCTTCGTCGTTCATATATCAGCAGGATCCTTGTCACTAAGTGGTGTTACACGTAATGAGACAGCTCCGATATAGACCTGCAGCTTTAATGTCATGGTGTAAGCAGCATGTTGCTATACTGTAGTGCTAATTAGCACAGTCTCTGCTGCTCTGTACTCTCATAGCACCTCGTCTCAATAGGCCTAATCATTCAAATACATGAGAAAGAAGCACTGCTGGGAGTCAGAGTGTGGCAGTCAGCCGTGCTTTTAGTAAGTGGTTTTATCTACTTTGATTGAGTTGGCTAATACACTACAGTACTGTACGGGGGTTTAGTAGGACCATACCATCCGTACAGTAATGAAAAGTAATGGAAATATAATTATAATAATTGTACACAACGCTTTAAAGTATTCAGAGGAATAAGTGAAGGTGTGGAGAGAGAGGCTAGGACTACTATCTGTGAGCTATATTTAACCGTACTGCACTATGGTTCCCACTCTGATCAGTATGCTGTTCCATCTCCCAGTCTGGGATGCAATCCCAACTCCTGCTGGGCTGTGTCAAATCAAAATCCAAAATCAATGAAGCCTGGGCCCTGATGGATAACATGGCCTCTTGCCCATTACTCACCTACTGCCTACCAGCAGTTGATATACAGCGGATGTAGAAATGTACAGTATCAGTATGAATATATCTAAATATTGAGAGATGAACAGAGTGCAAATGCAGTATAGTGCAGTTATTTTGTGTACGAAGTTCAGAGATGGCTTGTGCAGCATAAAGTGCATAGTCCTTTAGTCTCTATGGGTCAGATAGCTGCTTGGTGAGGGCCACAGCCCAGGGGAAGAAACTTTTCAGGTGGTGGGAGGTTTTGGTCATGAGTGACCTGAACCGCCTACCAGAAGAAGGCTGATTCACAATTTTTCTATCAGAATATTATTTATAAAGATAAGCATTATATTGTTAGATTATAGGAGTAACTCTTGTAGACCTAAAACATTCTTCCTCACCTGAAGTTCAACTGTCGGAGTGCTGGTGAGCTAGGGCTGCACGATATGGGCAAAACATTTAATAGCAAATGTTTTAACCAAATATTGCGATCGCGATTTGACATGCGATATAGATCTAAACACTTGGGTGAACTGTTGGAATCATAGTACTAGAATGATTTATATTAAGAAGCAAAGTGTAAAGCAGCATGGTTCTTGTTTCAAACAATCTGACTGCATTTGACCTAGCAGAACAGCATGCAAATTTATAGTAAATCTAAAAGTGGGGAGGAGGAACTGTGCTGCTTGAGTGACAGGGGGCGAGGCTTTGTGTGTGGGAAGCAGCTGCAAGAGGATTATACACAGTGTACAAAACATTAGGAACACCTGCTCTTTCCATGACATAGACTGACCAGGTGAATCCAGGTGAAAGCTATGATCCCTTATTGATGTCACCTGTTAAATCCACTTCTATCAGTGTAGATGAAGGGGAGGAGACAGGTTAAAGGATTTTTAAGACAACTGAGACATGGATTGTGTAACACATTTAACATAACATTTAGTCATTTAGCAGACGCTCTTATCCAGAGCGACTTACAGTTAGTGAGTGCATACATTTTTTTGTTTTTTTTTTGTTTGTTTTTTTCATACTGGCCCCCCATGGGAAACGAACCCACAACCCTGCCGTTGCAAACGCCATGCTCTACCAACTGAGCTACATCCCTGCCGGCCATTCCCTCCCCTACCCTGGAC